AGATCACGATCGATTCTCGGGTCTTCCCCGTCGTATCCCTCTTCAAGAGAATATCCGTCATCGCCGTGTTCCTCTGGTTCTCCTTCGTCGCCTACAACAGCTGGATTGATATCGGATTCACCATCCTGATCTCTCTGGTTACCTTTCTTCTTTCTCCTCCGTCTCCGTGGCTTCTTGGGCGGAGGTTCCTCTTGCTGTGTCTCCTGACCTGCTGTGGCCTCGTCTTCATGCCCCACACCTGACAGTATGCGATGAAGTATCGTAGCCAAGCCGTCTGGTCTTGGTAAACATCTCCCGTCGTCATCATTCACCTTGATGTAGGGTATGTTGTCATGCACCGATAACGGAATCTTGTTCGCGTTCTGGTCGATGAGGTATGGTAATTGATTTGCCGGCCATATGAATGAGTACCCTTGTTCCATGCACCGCTTCCCGATGGAAAAGACTGATGGTGTGCTCTCCAACACGTGTGCCTCGGACATCATGGGTAGTTCGTCCACATTGATGTCCACCATCTCTGATGTACTAGTTACACCATTCGCTGTCATGAAGCTCACGGATTTGGGTCCTTCCTTGGTGGTAAGGCCCATGGCATTGACTTTCTCTCTTGAGATCAAGTCGTGTCCACATCCCGTGTCCATGATGAAGCGTATCGGTGGTCCATCATACCTCTCCACAGCCATGAACATCGTGTCTCCTGGTATCGTGTGGTTGACAGGATCCTTCCTTACTACCTCGCTGGTGTTGAAGTCTGACAGGTCGACGTTCACCTCGATTCCTTCATCTTGAGTGATTTGTATCCATGCCTTGGCAATGTGTTCAGCAGAAAATAACTCCATCATCTTACCTTTGGCATGTGCTACTCGTGCAGCTATATTGTTCACTCTGAGGGCTCTCAACGATGAAATGAGCTCGGTATCCACCTTCTGTACCTCACTCTTCTTCTTCCTGAGGGGACGGGTGTTTAGCTCGTTACCAGGATCGCAGGGGAACGTGGTCACATTCGCCTGGTCATCGAATCTGACTTTAAAGCGAAGCGCCAACCCACCTCGTCGTACGTTGGGAAGTGCTGGTTGCATGTCCTCATCATCACTCTCGATGTCCCCGCAAAGCATGAAGGCTGGCGCAGCCGGTTTGGGCTTGGCTTTGCCTTTAGCCTCTTGTTTTGCAGCAGGAGCAGCTTGGCGCTGACGTCGACATTTGTCCCCGAACTTGCACGATCCTTTCTGCCAATTCCAACAGACCTGATCCTTCATTGGCTTAGGGCTAGTGCTTCTGCCACCAGGACTCTTTGATCTGTCACCCTTGAGGTTGTCTGGTTTCTTAGCAGAACTTTTGTGCTTCTCCTGGTGACTAAACTTGCATTTGTCTCCTCTAGAACATCCGTTTTTCCCATGGAAGTGGAAAGCGCATCCTATCTTGGACGTGTCTGCCGGAGTCGCTGACCTGCCACGATCCCCCTTTGGGCTCTTCGTGGTTGGCCTTCCACGATCCTGCTTCTTGTCCTTCTTTTGGTGATCCTTCGGATTATTCTGAGGAAGTACTGGAGCGGCGTCAAGCTTCGGTGGATCGGCCTTGGTATTCTTGGGCTTCGCTTTAGGGTCCTTCTTCTCCGCTGGTGTAGCCTTCACGAGGTTCCCAAAAGCCTTTTCCCTTTCTTTCTTGTTTGTGGTCTCGATTGATTTCCGTATCCACTTCGCCATGATCTCTCGTAACTTCTGGTAGGTCTTATCCGGATCCTTGTCCAACATGTTGTCGTACACGGACAAGTCTAACGCCATAACTTTGGAATCCTTAATCTTATCCCAAAGCAGGTTGCGGAGTGCTTTGTCAGGAAGCATGTCATCCGCATCCATACCTGATATGATCTCATCCCACTGTCCAAGGAATCTGGATAGTTGATTATCCCCAGGGAATTTTAGATCGAATAAGTGCTTGGATGCATAAATCACATCAACGTTGTCGGCACTCCGGAAGCTGTCGACGATCAACGCTAACATTTCTCGTCCTTTGACCATTCCAGGGGTTGTGCCTCTCGCACGTCTCTGCATCATCTGCCTCACCTTCAGTTGTACGTCATGAGATCTCTCTCCTGCTGCGTGGATGATCGTATGTAGGGTGATACCTAGCTTAGCGTCTATGCTAGCGAATCTTGCTTCACCTGATGTCTCGAGCAGAAATGGGTCATATGGTGATCTGAAGGCATCCGAGAGCCACTGGATCCAATCTTCCTGTCTTTCGTCGCCCGATGCCGTCACGACTGCCGCTACAACCTGGGATTTCCAAACCTCCAAGTCGTGTATCTTGGGCCATGCAGGGATGTTGATCTTCTCGTGTTCCTTCCGAGATATCTTGGAGCCACGCGAGCTAGAGGATGAAGCGGCACCATGTTCGGTTGCGGCTGCATTCTCTGCATTCAAGCGCTCCTCTTCGTACCTCCTCCGGTACTTGTTCCTCTCATCTCTGAGTCGTGCTGCATGCGCTTCGTATTCCATCATGTCCTGTTGGTTCTGCATCATACCTTCGTAGTACTCCATTGCCTCCTTCTCCTCGGACCTTAATGACTTCTCGGTACGTCCAAGTTCCGCTCTAAGCTTGGTCATCACCTCATTCTCCACATTGGGTTCTGATCCCATGTCTGGTGGTTTCAACGTCAGTGCGACCTTCAATTGTGCTTCACTTGCGCTTGATTCGATCAATTCTTCCTGAAGACGATTCAGCATCCTCTCTTTGCGTAGAATGTCTTCTTCCAGCATGTTCATCTTGACCTCAGCTTTCTTGAGTTCGGCGTTGGATGGTTGAGACAGTCGATCGGATCCTTGAATCCTCGCCTGTGCCAACTCCTCGTTCGCCCTCTTCAATTGCTCCCTGATGGTCATGATGAAGTTGTCCTGATTACAAGATTGGTTGCTGAGCTCCTCATTCTCTTCTGATAACCATTTGATCTTGCTTGTATACATTGCTTCCTTCATCTTCATCTCCTCAGCATATTCGTGTTTGTTCCTGGCACTCTGCCTTTGTAGTCCAACTAACTCCTGTCTATACAGATCCCTAATGTTCTCAGCATCTGAGACTGCAGTCATAACCTCGGTTATGGCTCGATCTCTTTGCGCCGATATAGCCTGGATCTCTTCCGTGCCGATGCTCACAACTTGGCTAACCATCTCTGCGCTGTTGCGATCAGCGTACTCCCCTAACTGGGTGAGACGATCCCGCATTGCCACACGATCAGTGTCGATCTGGTATTGCAAATCGTGTGCTGCCGAGAGCAAACAGTCTCTGGATTCTGTAAGCTGGGAGATTCTTCGTTGATTTCCATATCCTTCGACATAACATTCTTCGAGGTGTGCCATCACTACTTCGTGGACTTCGGTCTCGTGTTGTATAATCTGGTTCTGTCTCTGCTCACATTCGACCATCCATGCGTTCTGGTGGTTCAACATATGCACTTCGGCAAGTAGTTGCGCACACCTCGCATTCAGGTCTCCATCGGCCCGTGCTAGTTGTAGGCTGTCAGTGCTTGCCCTTGCTCCGTCTCCAGCTTCGCTGTCCGACGGTACTGGTACAGTTGACCCATCCTCCAATGCTAGCACTCTCACAGCTCCGGTGTCAGTCCTCCTCCTCGTCTCCCTAGGGCTACGGCCTGATCTTGGTGTCCCCCCCGGTGGTGTCGATTGCGCTGACGGGGAACGACTTCGCGCTCTACCTGTCGCACCTTCTCTCACCACTGTCAGAGTCTCCGCTTCGATCGTACCTGGACTAGAGTTGTGGGATGCACTCATCCGATCTGCGGCCGCAGCAGCTGCTCCAAAGGATGCAGTGCTGGCGTCGGATTGTTCCATCTTCAGTGACAGAGGGTAACTGATCTATCCGATGCGTGTGCGTTTAGATGGTGTTGTGTAAGGCCGCAGCACGTACCCAGCTCAAAGGAGTCTGGATACGGCTGATAACCTGCGAACGGATGGAAAGGTGTGCCCTGGCCCCGTTCTAGCCCTTAGTTCAACATGAAGCTCGCGCGCTAAAGCTCCTTTTTACCTGGTTGGGCACTTGAGCCAAAAGTATATGGCAAGTACCTATATAGCAACTATACTGGGACCTCATCCCTATTGACATAAAACGACCATCAAGAAAACCACAAAGGGTCAAATCGAAGGTCTTCCCCCTCTTGTTGGTTTCCTAGACCAACTGTTGATGCGCCCAATGAATGAAAACACATCGCTGCAAAGAGCAATGGATAGCGCAATCAGGAA